AAAAAAAGGAAGGAGAGACATCACCCTGGGCAGAAATAGGTTTCCATGGTGGCTCCTCTAGACCAGAAACTTTATGGTGGGGCTGTCCCTGAGCCCCAGGAACCTCCCCTTTTTCTGCTTGGAAAATGTTGCCCAGGTAGAAAAATGTGGAACTTGATGCCTTTGTAGCCAGTGAAATGAGAGAGTTGTGTTCAGAGAGTGATTCCTCCCACTGCCCTAGGAGGTGGTGGTCACCTTCTTGAAGGGTGTCTCTCCCTGCAGACATTACAGGGGAAACCAAAAGAAAGGATCCCAGATGTGTGGCTCACTTTTAGCTGCTTAAGAGAAGACAGCAGAATCCCGTCCCACGTTAACACTGTGCATCAGGAGCACAACTCCTTTGCACTGAAACTAGTCAGCAGCCTATGTAGCTGGTGTTTCTCATCCCATTCCTATTGCTGTGCCTACAAACAGGAAGCAAGTCAGAAATAGGAGACAGTAGACATGGCAATCACAGATAGCTGAGATGAGATGAGATAGGCCTCTGGGCCATCCTAGGATGAGGTAGTAAAGGAATAACAATTGTCCAACAGATGTTTTGCATTTGGACCATCATCCAACCCAGGGGATTTGACAATGCCCTGTGAGCTGCTCTTCCAATAATGCTTTGGGTGCAGCACCTTTGAAACTGGCTCCTTTTTTTTTTTGCCTAAGAGCCACAGGCATGGGAGGACATCAAGACCTTGATGTCCCTACTGGGGACAATATTGTAATACATTGGTAGTGGGTAGAATGGGAGGGGAAATTTTCAGCTAATGACCCCCCAAGAAAATGACTTCTGTTAAAGTTATGGGATCTTGAATGCTCCTAGAAACTGCTGGGATTTTACCCTTTAGGGTTTCATCTGAAAGAAATCCATATAATGAAATATTTAAGACAACTCAGTTCTTGAAAAGGCAAAACCAACCAGTTCTGTGTTTTGTAGGTGTTGTCCTTATTTCACTTGTTGACATAAAGAGTAAAGGGCAGGCTCACATCAAAATCTTGAGTTTCTGAAGGGCTGCTAAGCTGAATCAAATCTAGAGTTTTCCAATAAGAAATGATAGGACAGGAGGAAATGTAATGAAGCTGCATCAGGGGAAGTTCAGATTGGACATTAGGAAAAGGTTCTTCACTGAGAGGGTGGTTGGTTACTGGAACAGGCTCCCCAGGGAAGTGGTCACAGCACCAAGCCTGTTGGAGTTCAAGGAGTGCCTGGATGATGCTCTTAGTCATATAGTTTAGTTTTAGGTAGTCCTACGAGGAGCAGGGAGTTGGACTCGATGATTCTTATGGGTCCCTTCCAACTTGAGACATTCTATGAATAGTGACACCCCTTGGCCTGAACTCCAGTTTCATACCAGAAATAGGGCAGCCTTCCTCCATAAATTCAATGTAGCCTCAATGGGCTGGACAGGTTTGTCAAAACAGCTTATAAAAGTAATTGTGAATCAACAGTATCATTAAGATCTACAGTTTCATTTTTTGTCTCAATAGAGAAGTGAAAGAGAGGATTTTAGTAGAAAAGGTGTAAAACAAAAAGTAGAACTTCAAAAAAAGCATTCTTCTTTTGAAGAGCTGTGAGGTGTTTCAAGGAACACCTGAATTAACCCTCGCTTTAATAAGTTTTTGTGTAAAGTTCACCTGTTCCTACTTTGTTTCTGCTGTCCCCTCAGCTCATGTGCTCCTCAGTCCAGAAAGCCCTGTTTGAGGAGGAGGACAGAGTGAAGAAGCTGCAGCAAAAGGTGGCAACGCTGGAGAAGCGCAACAAGCAGCTGCGAGATCGGGTGAAGAAAGTCAAGAGGTCCCTCCGGCAAGCCAGGAAAAACACGAGGCACATGGAGCAGATGAACCGAAAGCTCAGTGAGAAACTCTCCTCTGCAGGTGGTCAAATCCCCTATATTAACTCTCTGAAGCAGGAGAACTCCCATGCTACCTACCTTAAAGTATAAAGCAAGGATAAGTGCTCAGGCCAATGATAATGGCGAATTTTGCCTGCATGAGATCAGGATCTGGCCCTCACACCTTGTCTACACTGTGCTTCAAACCTTGCATGGAAAATGAATCTGAACTTGCTTTAGACACAGTGCTAGATTAAACAGGATGCAAACCGGATTTGGCTGTGTGTTGGAGGCACAGCCCAAAGCCATGTCCTCACTGTCCTCAGTGGACACAGGGCCAGGCAGTAATCTGTGCTTCTCTGCCCTCGTGCCCCTCCGCCTCTGTCACCAGTTTTAGGTTGTCTTTGATGAAAGTGCCAGTTCAGCCCCATGGGCCATTGCGGGCACTTGACATAGGAGCTCTTCTTGCCAACTTACCTCTTCCACATGGGCTGGGCAAGCAAGACCAGGGAGATATATGGAGATGGATGCTGTGGGAAGGATGCAAGCATTGCTCCATCATCACCCCCAAGCCCTCATCCTCCCTTTAGCTTTACTAAAGTCTACATCCAGTGTCTGAGCACAGGCTATGTCTGGGGGACAGAGTCAGTTTCTATGATTCTGTGATTCAAAATGAAGTATAGATGTGCCCAAATTGCCTTAAGATTGTTTCTAATATCCCTAAATATTCTAAATAAAATATCTAATATTTTTTATTTTACCAGGAAGTGCCTCAAGGATCTCAGTAACTCCCTCAGGTGCCTTTATCATTGCCCAGCCAACAGGGTCGGAAACCATGTCATTTTGAGACTGTGTCTAGGACCTAATCCACCTCCTGCAGTCAGGAATGGACTTAGCCTGACTATTAGTGGGTGCTGGATCAGGCCCAGCAGACAATTTCAGATCCCATTTTCAAGCAGGTTTAATTTACAGTGTGGACAAGGCTTCAAGTTTTGTAATCACTGTTTGAGGTATAATGGAGGTTGCTGGGCAGCCTCACTTAGTTACACTTAGATACTGTAGAGACCACATCAATATCAACAGGGCATTAAAAATTAAGGTAGTTTATATATGTATATATTTTAAATTCCTATAGAAAATATTTTTATTACACATTTGATATAGTCTAATTTCTTAAAATATGAAGTAAATCCCGTTTCTTGGTTATCTCAACAAAAAAAGTCCATCATGTCCTTTATTAGACATTTACAAACTGACTTATGCTCAAGCAGCATAGGTTAAAGCATCAGTATCCGTGGCTGATGTTTTCAGTTCTGTTTATGTACCAGAGCATATCTTGGGTCTTGGTACTCAACCAACCTTCCTTCATAACAGGGCACCATAAGGAGAGAAAGGTAGAAGAGTGTTTTTGTGGTTTTCTTCCCTTCTCAAAATAGTTTTTCTTACTACAAGCATGAAACCTGAGTGCAGATATGCTTCTTGCTTTTCGACAGGGGCAGCTGGCCCTTGCCCAGCTCCAGGCAACACCGACAATCTGCCAGGGCTAAACCCGATTTGTACAAGGTGGACTGATCCAGATGATCTTTAACGTAGAGGTGAGGCCCTTAGAAATAACTGTGCAAACCACCACTGTGCTCCTATCTCTCCACACTTTACCAGATCACTGTATGGTCTCCATGCTGTATCTCAGCACTCAAAATTAGAGTATATCCAGGCTACAGCCCTGCTGGACCACGCTTTAACTATCCCTGTGCTAGGAAAAGCCCGTATCAGCTTTCAACCATGAGCTTCAGTCCAAGCTGAACTCAGAAGTTAAACCTTTTGTTGGCTTCTAGGATGCTGCTGAGTTTAATTACTTTCCAGTTTTGCTCCTTTTGGAAATAGAGCTTTTTTCTTTTCTTTGTCCCCCCACCTCTTGAAATAATATTGGCATTTCTTAAGATTCTGACTCCTCCACAAGCTCCACTGGTTTCAAAGGTTTTGCCTACCGAATCAGCACAATTTGAGTTGTTTTGTGCTGTAGTCAGCAATGCTGTTTCCTGAGAAATACTACAGACCTAAGACTTCCCTAGAAGCCATCAAGATATTTTAACTGCAAAATTTAAGTCCATAGGAAAGTAACTAAATTTTTTGTTTGTTTGTTTCTGGTTTCTAAACTGCTGTTTAAATAGAGGAACTGTTTTTCCTGGTATAGGTATTAAAAGCTTGTGTTTTAATTTTTTGTTAATAAAAATATTCCCTCTGGTATTCATTCATGCTTTATAAATGTTTGTATAAAGCTGAGAAAGTATAATTAATATAGCTACACCTTTGCTATTCTTACAAATTTTCCAAACACAATGTTGAAAACCTTTTTCTCTTGGCTGATATTTTTGTCTCTTGATGAAAAGATTTAAATTTTCTTCCTATTTCCCCCTTTTGCTAGCTTAAAAAAAAGTAAACCATTTTGTTCTCCTTGTCAGTTTCGTGAAAATTTTGTTACTTTGCAAAGAAAACAAAACCACCCCCTCCCTAAATGCAAAATCCAAATGCAACCCAAAATGTCCCCTCTGGGTACAAAATCAAAAAAGATTGTTTCCTTGTGAGTTTTTTTCCTTTCATTCCAAATGGTTTTGGATCATTTCCAGAGATAAGGACTAGCAGTCAGATCAGATCACAAGTTAACCCTCTCAACAAGTAACAGGGGATGCCAAGCCCAAATAAAAATGCTATTAAAGTGTCACCATTGATTGCCTGTCCCTGCTGGTGGCAGTATCCAGAGAGTGACCAGGGAGGCTGTACAGGCAGGAAACACGAGTGGGAAGAGAAATTTGAGTAACGTCCATCCAGGTTGGTACACATCACATAGGGCCTGACACATATTCTAATTTTATTTAGACCCACTCCATAGCAACTTCAGGGACAAGCTAATCTGGAAACCCACAAAAAGGGCAAAATTTCATGCCATTTTCCAAATTAATGTGAAAGGCATGATTGAGCTCCTTTTGAAGAGCTACACGGGAGAGACTGGGGTGCAGAAATGCAGAAGAGGTTGGCATAGCTAGGTGGGTTGGCAAGGGATGGTATAGAAACCCAAAAGAACATCTTGGGGAAAAAAAAAGAAAAAAAAAAAAGGCAAGCAGAAGTGTTCGAATGAGGAAAGCAATTGGTTAGAAACAGCACCAAATGTGGCAGTCCCCTATGAGAAGTTCAAAGATGCTTTACAAATAAATAACATCTGCTTTTGCAAAGACATCAGGAGCTTAAAGGCTGCCAGAATATCTACAGGACCAGTGCTAGGGGTTCTCAGAGCAGATGAAGCCAGAACTGGAGGCAAGGAGGGGCTTTTCAGTGTCTGTGTTCACTGCGGAGGAATTTAGGGATGCTCTAGTGGTCAAATCAATTATTCCTGATGGATCCAGAGAATGACAAGAAGAAGTGAAGGAGCAAACTGAATAGCAGCAAATTGCAAGGACAGTGAACAAATGGGTATGAACAGTAACAAAGACTAGACTTAGCTGAGTGATGCTGAGTGAGTGACTGACAACAAAAAGAAATGAAAAGCAATGTAGATAATGTAAAAAGATGATAATGGGAGAGAAGAAAAACAGTCCTATCTTTTCACATGAAATGAGATGCTCTGATCTGGCATCAGCCAGCTAATATCATTGTATACAATTAGTGGTCAATTAGTCAATCAATTGGTAAATCTAGTATCATGATGATAGAAATGTTACACTGTTATCATTCTATGATAACATTGGCTCAACACTTAGCTGGAACCAAAAAGGTAGGTGAAGTGCTAGAAATTGTTAGGAAAGGGCTAGAGACCATCATTAGACTGCTAAGCATGAGGTATGCCCACTTCTGGGATGCAGTGTGCAGTTATTCCCCATCTCTAAAAAAGTGTCTAATAGGAAATGTATAGTGAGAGGCAACAAGGAAAGTCTGAAAACTGGAGTAGCTTCATATAACAAAAAAACGTATTTTCCAGGACTTCAGGCTGGAGAAAAGAAGAGAGAGGAGAATGACAGAGGGAAACAGGAGAGGGGAAATCTTGGGATTGTCCTCTTTTTACTACCACCACCACCACCGCATGTCTCTGTTGTGCTGTTTCAGTCACTGGTTAAACTTCTGCAAGGTTTGTGTCTCTCACCAGAACTGAATTGGATACTTCAGATGCTGATCTGCACCCAAAAAGCACCTTCTGTCCTTAGAGTTTACAATAGGATTTTCTGGGTTTTTTGGAAGTGCATCAAATAAGCTGTATTATTTTCTCTTAAATCCCAAGTGCTGTCCTGATGTAACAACCCTACCTGGGTAGCTCGGGAAGAACCATGTAGTAAAGGAGGATTTATGGAGAGCAGACAATGTTAACAGCTTGCTTTGCTCCTTAACACCAAAACCATTGAGAAGAGAATGACTTCCATATGTTTGAACAATAATTTAGGGAAGTGGCCATGTTATTCTGTTTGGGTTTTAGCAGAAGGGGTTTTTGGAACAGAAGAGCACATCAGTGTTACAGAGCTGTATCAGTAAAGCCCATTTCTAATACACAAAACTTCTCGCCAAGCTAGGTAATCTCTCATTAATGAGGCAAAGAAGCCCAAATTCATTTGTAAAAGTAGGAGAAAAAACATAAAGGGAAAACTGGGGAGAGCAGATAAAACTGACAACGTATGTCATTGTTTCTTATAATAAATCCAAGTAATTGCAAGGAAATTTCATTTTCCTCCCCTCTTAACCCCAATTATTTTCATTTAATCACAGAAACGTTGCTATTTCCCTACAAACCAGACTGCTTTGCGTGTGAAACATCGTTTCCAACATGCACTTGGGTTTAGGCATGTTCTTAATCCCCTAAAACAAACACAGTGAGGAGGACAGCATGTCCCAGCATACGTGGCACTGCTGGGAGGGCTCATTGGCTCCGGTTGCATTGGCTGTGCGGGAAACCAGGCCAAGTCACCCCAAAAGGGATTTTCCAGGTGGCATAGGAACTAATGTCTGGGGAGGCAGGCACAACACAGATGTAGCGGGTCAGGAGTGATGTTGTCTTTCTGAGGAATCATCTTGTGGTGGGTCAAGATTTGGTGCAGAGGACACCAAGTGGGCGGGGGTGTTGATCTGCT